AAACCCACCAGCCACTCCTTGGAAGGAAGATGGGGCAATCTACTTCTGTAGTGATACTGCCTTGGAAACCCAAGGAGGGGTTGCTATGAGTTGGATCCAACTTGATGGCACATAACAACAACAACAGATACACTCTTTAAGAGTGATCAATCATGAGAGAACAGAAGAGCAGTGTTTACACAGGCAGATAGCTCAGGGGGCAGGAGTGCACAGGAAAGAAAGACACAGGGATAAGGTAACTACAGGAAGTAGGAAGAGAGTTGTTACATTGTGGGGATTGCAGTCAATGTCATGAAACATAATGTATATGAACTGCTATATGGAAAATCAATTTGTTCTGTAAGCTTTCACCCAAATCACAATTTAAAAAAAGAAAAAAAAATATAAGCTAAGAAAAATTACTATACAATTCAAACTATGGTATGTGGACTTATGGCTGCTAACCCCATTTTAGGTGAAATTTAACTTTATCCCTTGAAATAGGCTCTAAGTTTCTCAAGGGCAGGGATACTATCCTATTTTGCTCATACTGTACTGTATACATCTAATACGTAGCTCAAGCCACACATATAAAATGGACTCAACATTTATTATTTATCGCTTCTCAATTGATGACTTATATGTTTATATTTAATTTACATATACTCTCTTTGGGAGGGAATATGACAGTGAAAATGGCAAACTTACTCTCCATCTTAACAGGCACAGAACTGAAGGACAATACAAAATAAGAAAGAGCTACAGTATCATTTTCTCAACTATTTCAGAAAGTTACTTGACTAAAAACAACATCCCATAAAGCTTCCCCTATGAAAACCCAGGGTACACCAAAATGACTGAATATGTCATTTCTTCAAATCTAGAAAATATACAAATGTCTTTCTTACTGCTCTTGTGATTTCTCCCAAAGTGTTTTTATCCAAGAAGGAAGCAAAATAGGTTTCTTTAGATTTGCAGCAACTAAGTATTTTTTGCTACCAACTTCTCCAGCGATAAGGTGAGTCACTGATGTATGAAGGTCTTTATATACTCGTCCACCCATCATTTGTACATATTTGTGAACTTCTTCCTGTAACCCCAAAAGAATTATTAATACTGAAGTCAACAATATTTTTCACTTTTTTATACAATATCCCAGATACCTTTTGTTGTTAGCTTATATATACAAACGTTTCTTACCATTATAAAGTTAAATAATTAACCCAATTATTTTGCAAGTAAGATAGAATTATAAATTTAAAAATAATTACCTTTACACATTCATCCCTTTCAACTCCATGAATTTATTAAACTATGATGTTTCTACAATAAATGTATTTTCATTATGTACAAATTTAAAAACACATAAATAATATTTAATTGCAAAAAGATAAGCATATTCATCATGATATTCCTCTCAACCACGCACCCTTTTTTGTTTTTCAAGGCTTGTACAAGATATGGTTACATCAGACATAACCATATTATAAACTGGATGTTCAGCTCTTGGGACGTATTGCTGGTGGTGCATACAATATATGACTACTTGAGGACCAACAATTCTGCATCCAAGCTACAAAAAAGGAAAAATTTCAGTAAGTCAGAAAAGATTACCAGTCTTATAAAATTACATTTTGTAGTATTTACCATTTACAGAACTTGATGACCACTGCAGAAAAATCACTAAATTGTTATCCGCCCCCCAAAATTTTGTAATTCCGCAGAAACATTATATATTAAATAAACACACACAACCGAAACCAGAGCAAATCAAACAATTCAAGCTATCAAAAGGATTAAGCTCCAAAAGCCCCCACACTCAAAACTTCCATCGAGCTTTTAATCTGTAAACATACTTATAATGACAGGGAATATGAGCTATAGTCTTAAGACTACAGCAGTTAGGAAATACCACACATACTTTTCAAATGAGGCACCCAGCAAATGAAGCATTTAAAAGTATTGAGCATCTTACAAGTAACATTTCCTCCAAAATGTCCATTTCTGTATTTTTATGCGAACGACACACGTTGTAAGTTTTTTGCAGACCCTGTACTCCTGTGCATCATTTTCATAAGCACCCTTCACTAATTTTTTTTTTTTTCAGCCTATGCTTGGGCTCTAGCAACCCCATGCACATCCCTCCACCCTCCAGCACAATATACCTGCATACAGATCGGATACAAGGAACCCCACTGCTCCCAAACCCTGACAGCAAATGCAGTTTCAATTGTTTATCTGACAATTACTTGGGATACTACCAAACTCAATCCATGACTTCTTGACAGTGGCTTATACATTATATAAATATGATCAAAAGTGACATTTTTGGACTATTGAGTACAGGTGAATGAGGCCAAAATTTACTTCTGGAAATGTCAGGAGCCATGTGCAGTATATGCACAGGTATGCTATGCTGGAATTTTTTTCTTTAAACCATTTCCATCCATTATCTCTGTGTGCATGTTATTTATGTGGGTGTGCTATTTGCAAAAAAAAATAAGGCATGTTACCCATAAAAATGTATAATCCTAGGCAGTCTCTATATTGGAGTTCTAAACACTGTCTGTACCTCAATGTTTTCCTAAGGAAGACCCACAAGGATTTCAATTAAGATATGGCAGGTTAAAATGAAAAAAAAAAAAAAAACATTTTATTCTTATTGGAAATGAAATAAGAAACGGGACAATCTTGCTTGTTGTTGCTGTTTGCCATTGAGTCGAACCCGACTCATAGTGACCCTTCCTTGGGTTTCCGAAGCAGTATCACTACAGAAGTAGATTGTCCACTCTTGCTTAACATCAGCAAACTCAAAACCAGAAAAAAAGCCTAGAGTTGCCACAGTTACCACTGAAATACCTATAAAAAACCAAAAACAACCAAACTCACTGCCACTGAGTCAGATCAGACTCATAGCAACCCCTCCTTGGGTTTCTCAGGCAGTATCACTATGGAAGTAGCTTGCCCAATCTTCCTTCCAAGGAGCAGCTGGGTGGGTTTGAACCACCAGCCTTTTGGTTAGCAGTCAAATGTCTTAGGCAGTACGCCACCAGAGTGCCTGGAGATACCTATAGGGTAAATGATTATTGCTATCTTTTAGGTTAGCTATAAGAAAATAAGTTTGTGATGCTACTGATTTCTGACTAGCAGTGGTATTTTCAAAGGGAGGGTAAGACAAACAGTGTTTTATGGCAAAGGTGGACACAGACTTTTTATAAATTGTATGAACCAAACCAACCAAAGCAAACTCACTGCCATCAAGTCGATTCTGACTCATAGCAACCCGCTTTGTGTTTCCAAGGAGTTTAATCTTTACGGAAGTAGACTGCCTAGTCTTCCTTCTATGGAGTCTATAAATTGTATAGATACTGCATCTGCCTACTCTTTATGTTTTCTTCTCCTTCAAACAAGAATCACTTCTTTGGGTAATCTGGATGGAATTACAGTCAATTTACTTTTATTACAATGCTTCTTTCTTATCCCTACTAGGAGCTCTGATGGCATAATGCCTAAGGCATTTGACTGCTAACCAGAAAGATGGTGGTTCAAACCCACCAGCTACTCCTCGAAAGGAAGACTAAGCAATCTACTTTCGTAGTGATACTGCCTCGGAAACCCAAGGAAGGGTTGCTATGAGTCGGATCCAACTTGATGGCAGTGAATTTGGTTTTGGTTTGGTTGTCCAGACTCCAAAAAAGTAATGGGTCACTAGACTCCAAAATCAACAAAAAGAAATGATGCCTCAATGATATACTGGCAATGTTCGTCCCTGAAATGTTTTCTTTCAGCATATAATTTTTCAGATTTTGTCTGAATACAGTCAAATTTCATCACTAAAATGCTTCATTACTATAGGGTTCACTTAAAACTTTGATCAAATTTTAACTTCTGAAAAATATAATTTTAATGTTAGGGATTATGAGCAATAGTCTTAGGCTATAACAATTAGGAAACACCACATGTACTAAGTGAAATTATATCCCCTGAAATATAAAAACTATATATAATAAAAGTCTACTGTAATATAATTAGCCTTTATAGACACTATTCTCCTCCCAAGAAACCAAAAGGATACCACTTTATTCGTATTTGCATACTTCATGATCAATACAGGTTTATGTCCACTGACACAAAACCAAAACAGATTACCAAAGGAAAACACTAGAAGTTAGCAAACCTTTTTGAGGTGATCAAAGACAATGCCATTAAAAGGGTCACAGATATAAAGTGATTTATCATTTTCTTTTATTTTCAATGCCTCTTCTTCTGTGATAATTTGAAGGTATTCTTCTGATTGGAACTCTTTTATTGACTAAAAGAAAAAAATGAAATTAAGAACGTACCTGAAATTAATCACCTGTATTAAAGCCCTATGAATTCTATCTTCAAAATCCATCTCAAATCTAGTCTTTTTCACCCCTTGATTGCTACCATCCTCTCGTAAGCTATTACTACCTTCTCACCTAGACCTCTGTATCAGCCTCCCCAGTGGTCTCATTCCTCTGCCTATATCAATTCCCCACACAGAAGCTAACAATCTCTTTAAAAATACCAATCAGATCATGCCCCTCTTTGCTCCGTACTTTCCAAGGGCTTCCTACCACACTAAGGATAAAATCCACATTTCTTATCATGGCCTACAAGACAATACAATACATTCTAGCTCCCACCTATCTCCTCACCTTCACCTTCCTATCTTGTATCCACTCTGGCTTTCTAGTAGAGCCTAGAATAAGCTAAGTGTGATCTCCTTCAGAGACTCTGTCTGGTTCCTCTTGCCTGGAATACTCTTCTTCTAGGTCTTCTTCACTTTTTTTAGGTATCTTCTCAAATGTCACCTCAAGATACCCTTCTTGATCACACTGTAAAATATCTTTTTCCTGTTTGGTTTATTTTATGAAGAAAAATAACATTGTGTATGTGTGTGTACAAACTTTGTCTCTCTTATTAAGATCAAAAGTTTCATGACCTGTCTTGTTTGTCTCTATATCGTGGAACCTAGTAAACACTCAAATATTTTATGAACAAATTCTGAAGTCCTTACATCCTTAAAGTGATTCTTTTAGATGTCAGATCAAAACTCTTCTGATTAAAACCCTCCATTGGCTCTCTATTTCACTGAGAGAAAAATACAAAAAGTCCTGACAATGACCTACAAGATCCTACATGATTTCTTCACCCTTATTCTCAATCTTTCTTTAGTCATTGGTCACAATAGCCACACTAACTTTAACTTTCTAGCTATTCCTTGGATAGACAATCCAAGGACTCTCCTATGGGCCTATGTACTCATTGTTACCTCTGCCTGAACCCTTCTTTCCAGATATGTGCATAGGTACCTATCTAACCTTCTTAAAGTTTACTCAAGTATCATTTCTCCACAAAGCCTAACCTAATCTTACTCTATTTAAAATTGTAACCTTCCTTTCCTCCTGGCAACATCCTCTAGAACCCCTCAACCTATTGTGCTTTTATAGCTTCCCATAGTACCGAAAGCCTTATAAAATACTATATAGTTAACTCATATATGTTTATTGATTAATGTCTATTTCCATCTGTTAGAATGTAACCTTTCTGTGTTTTGATAACTGATGCATCCCAAGTACTAGAACAGTACCTATCAGATGATGGACACTCAGTAAATATGTGATGAATGAATGAATGTTAAGAAAAAAACTGCTACAATAGTCCTTCTGAAATTTTAATGTGCACAAGAATCACACTGAGGATATTGTTAAAATGCAGATTCTAATTGCTAAGTTTAAGCAGGGCCCAAGAATATGCATTTCTAATCAACTCCCAGACCATACTTAAGTTGGGGTCTGTGAATAAGGCTCTCATCACCCCTAGACCCTCCATATTATAATGAAACATGCTTTGAACAATTATCCAAGAAATGTTGAAGTGTGACCAATACATGACTAACTCAAATTTATTTACATACAAAGAAGCACTGTGGTTAGGAGACAAAAAAAAGCAACCTAATTTCTAAGAACTGCAGGTTAGACACATCCAATAGAAATATAATGTTTCAAGGCCCCCCAAATATACAATGATGATGCTTAGATCGATTCTGAAACATCTAATAATGATATACATTAATGTAAAACGGTAAAGTTATATGAAGATAAAATATCTGTAAGACATAAAGGGCCTAATTTTAAAAAAAGAAAAATTTACATCATCAAACCACATTTTCAAATATTCTTACCGCAAGAGCTTTAAAAAAATATTCAGAATTGTCTGGAGACTTTAAAAACTTCACCAAGAACGGTTCTTTGTCATTTCTGGACATTTCTGAACTGTCAAAATAAAGGGATCATTAACAAGAACAAAACACATTATATATGAAGTTACATTTTTAAAGCACCCATCTTTCTGTGCAGGCAAGAATGTCTAAGAATGGGCATTCTGACCTTGCCCATGAATTCATCCAGCATGTCTGGAAGAAATGCTAGAATATGCCCAATATCGAACAAAAGGATGACATCAAACCGTACATATTAGAAAACGAAGCTAACGTCCCTAAAATGCATGAGGGCCTTGCACTGGGGGCTTTAAATCACATCAGCAAATGGACATTCAATTACATGGTGCTTAAGGACAAACTCTATCTGCCCCAGCGATATCCACGGCCCTCTAGGACTGTTCACCTCTCAGTAAACGGATTTTTAAACATAAACACGGAAGCCAATTACCAAGGTCGTGCCCCTTTAAAAGGCCTCAGGTTCCTGCTCCCTAGTTCCAGAGAAAGGCCTGGCTCTCAGTCCAGCAGCAGCCACGTCCTCTCCGACGTCAAAAATCCCACCCGCAGCTCGGAGGGCCGGTTGAAAAGGCAGGAAACAAGCGCCTCTAAGGCCACAGGTGGCGTTGCGACCCCTAGTTGTGGCGGAGAAGGAATCGAGTCCTCACTCTGAACCTCACTCACCTCGATGGAGCCCGGGTGTCTTCGGGGGGCGAGTGAGGGGGCGCGCGGCCGGCAGGACAGCGGCGGCAGTCTGGCGCCAGCCGGGCGCAGACCCGCCCCACCCGGCGGCGCCCCCGGCCTGGAGCAAACGCAGAAGAACCCGGAAACCACTGAGGAAAGGAACCGATTTTCGCGCCAACAGCGCGGCCGCGCTAGTCTATTCCGACGGAAGTGACGAAATCAGCAGCTGCCGCAGGGGGCGGGAGTTGTGAAAAGAAGTGAACTTTGGTGGAGGCGGCTGTTGAGGCATTCTGAGCGGCGGGTGGAGGGATTCACCTAAAGTTGGTGCGGGTCCCTTGGGGTTTAGGACTTTGAAGGACTGGCCTGGGCTCCCTCGGGATTCGACACCCCCCCCCACCCCCGCCCCGACGATACTCGTGGCGGAACCGTAGGCCTGTAGGACTCCTTTAGCGGCGGCCCCCACTAGCGAAAGTACAGCCGGAGAAGAAATGGTTTCCCTTATCGACAGGAATGGGAACCTACTGGACGGCAACGAGCAAAATATCTTGTGGCAGGCAGTGCTCAAGAAGCTATACATCATCATCCAGAACAACTCTGAGACAAATAGTGGTGTCTCCATTTTACAGATATAAAAACAGGCTCAAAGAAGAAATGGTGTATTCTAGGTAGTATATAGTCAATGGTAGAGTAACGATGTCTTTAACACTCCAGGTCTTTTGCTTCCAACATATCAGGAATATAATCACCTCTGGTGGCATAGTACCTAAGGCATTTGTCTGGTAAGCAGACAAATCCGTAGTAATTAAAAAAAACCAAAACCAAACTTAACTGCCATCCAGTGGAATCCGACTCCTAGCAACCCTTCCATGGGTTTCTGAGGCAGTATCACTACAGAAATAGATTACCCAACTTTCTTTCCAAGGAGTGGCTGGGGGGCTTGAACCACCAGCCTTCTAGTTAGCAGTCAAATGCCTTATGCACTAAGGCACCAGAGCTCCTTCCGTAGTGGTGCTGCTTCAGAAACCCAAGAAGGGGTCGCTATGAGTCAGATCCGACTCCACCGCAGTGAGGTTTTTTTGCATAATCACTGTTTTTACTATAGCTTAGGGTTTTGAAGCGAAGAAAGATTTGGATTACACAGCTCATGCGAAGGATCTTTGCCCCCTCCTTCTTTAAGGGGCATGTCACTTTCATTCTCTGCACTACCTGAGTTTTGGGGGAGATTCTGGGTTGGAACCAAATGTTCAAGTGGCACAGAGCAGGGAAAGGAGTAAAATGAGCCTGCAGAGTCTTGTTGTTGTTGTTCTGTGCCATCGAGTGGACCCACTCATAGCAACCCCTCCTTGGGTTACTGAGGCAGTATCAACTACGGAAGTAGATTGCCCAACCTTCCTTGAACCGCCAGCCTTTTGGTTAGCAGACAAGTGCCTTAGGCACTACATGCACTAACAGAGCTCCTTGCAGAGTCTTAGCTGGTTGAAAATCAATGATAAACTACTTAGCCATTTTTTTCATTTTACTCTTGATTGTTGGGTTGAGAAGATCTTGACTTAGAATCAAGTAATATGTGAGTTTAATGGCATCTGCCTTAATTATATTTTTCTTTTTAGAGTTTCTTTTTATATTCTTTTTAGATGACAATGAGGAGCTTGGGTCTAAGTGTGTGAATACACCTGCAGAAGATGAGTCAGGACCAGTAGCACTGGGACTCAAAGACCATTGCTGGGGAAAGGATGAGGAACGCCTCAAAAACAAACAAAAATTACTAAACTTAAAAAGCAAAAGAAACCACAAGTAATTGTTGAGATGCAAACCTGTCATGAAGCTATAATAATTATTAATATTTGTAGGATACTTTACACTTGTCAGAGGACTCCTGCTTGCATTGTTCCCATTTCCTTTTCTCAGCCATCGTATAGTTTGTGGGTATTATTGTCCCTTGTTATGTAGGTAGCGAAACCCCAGAGACTGTGTGTGACTTACCCAGGGACACACAGACAGTGTGGCACCTGGGCTCAAGAACAGACAGAGTTACTAGACAAACTGTGTGCCCTCCAGACACATAACACTACTTCTGGTTACATGCCACTTGTCTACCTCAGCATGAAGATCAGCAGCAGGGCAGGAGCCCATTCCTGGCACATATGGGGCTGAGTGCAGGCCTCACAAGAGAAGGAGACTCACTAATAACACTGATGCTAACTAAGAAGAGGAAGAAAATTAAATCACCTTTTAGCTTTTAAAGTAACAACAAAAACCAAAGCAGTTGTCCTTGAGTTTATTCTGAAACATGGCTACCCCTTGCAGATGAGAGAAGAACTGTGTTCCATAGAGTTTTCAGTCATTGATTTTCAGAAGTAGATCCATGCACCAGTCCCTTCCTCCGAGGTGCTTCTGGGTGAACTCCTACCTCCAACCTAGCTGAACAGTTATGTGTTTGTACCTCAGGGACTCTGACAGATAGGCCGAGAGGGTCTTTATCTGTCCCTGAAGCATCTAATCAAAAAACACTGAACCCACTTTTGTGGAATCAATTCTAACTCATAGTGACCTTAAACAACAGTTCTGCTCTGCTCTATAGGGTCTCCAAAGCTGTAAATTTTTACGGAAGCAGACTGTTGCATCTTTCTTTTGTGGAACAGCTGGGGCTTGAACCTCTGACCTTTTGGTTAACAGGTGAGTGCCTTAACCACTGAGCCATAAGTGCTCATTAGTAGAGGAGTGGTTCTCAAAATGTGGTCTGGACCAGCAGCTTCAGCATCACCTGGGAAAAAAGAATTGTCAGGCTTCACCCCAGAACTACTGAGTCAGGAACTCTTGGGACAAGGCCCATCAATCTCTGTTTTAACAAGTCTACCAGGTAATTCTGAGGTAATTCTGAGGCATGTTAAAGTTAAGAGCTATTCTTTGGGGAAGGATGAAAGTGTTTATATGGATCTGTGCTCCACGAAGATTTGGGTAAGAATGGGGAATGGTTATGACATGCCCTCAAGCAGCTGCCTCAGAAGCTGAGATCTGGAGGTTAACTTTCCCCTTATCTCCCTGGCATTGCTTGCTTTCAGGATCACTGACCACATGTTGAAGATAGCAGAACCTCCCTCATCCTAGATTCCTGAATGATTGAGCTGAGATGTGGAGGGGAGCCCCTCTGCAACCCCAACCAATCATTGCCAGTGCCAATTGGGCTTTGTTATCAAGAAATTATCTTCTATGTATTAAGCCACTGAGATTGGGAATTTATCTGTTATGATAACTAGTACCACCCTCACCAATTCTGAAATTGGCAATAGTTTAAACAAATGTTTTTCCACTGGTGGTGGAGGGTGGGGAGTGGGATCTGTCTTTACAAGTGCCCTTGGAAAAGAAAATACGAAACTGTTCCAGAGAAAAATGCTAGTGTCCACATGAGGAAGAGCATGGACAATGGAAACAGGCTGCCTGGTTTGAATGCCAGCTCTAACATGAACTAGCTGCCCTTGGGCAAGTTGTTTCACTCTCTTCCTCTTATGAACCAAACCAATGAGGATGGTAATAGCTGCTACCTCATGGAGTTACTAAAACCAGTGTTTGGAAAGCCCTTAGAAGAGTGCCTGGTATTCAGTTTTTGATAAATTAAAAATTCCCTAATTTTCCAAAGGCTGTCCTTGCCTTGGAGTCTTTCATTGTTCCTCACAATACAGTATTCCAACCAGTTCTGGAAAATGTGAGAGGATGTGGCAACACAATAGAAATGGCTTTAGGACTTTGGATGCCCTTTCTTTGAAGTATCACGGTCTCTGTACATAGGATGTTTTCAGAGTTTGTGCCACTCTGGGGCCAAAGAGCAACTTGGCTTTATTGGATTTGGGTTGTGTCAGCTTTTTAGGTGGATTATTAACCTTAGAAGAAATGGTCATCTTTGAACCATCTTTGGTTTCTTGTCCACAGGCCTAAAGAAAAGATTGTTCAACCCACTTCTGAGATAATTGTTTATGTGCATTCATTCATCTGTTTCTGATAATTTTTTCTGAGGCCTGTATTATACCAGGACCCCTGGTGATGCTGTGGTTAAAGTGCTCAGCTGCTAACAGAAAGGTCAGCTAACAGAACAGTTCGAACCCAGCTTCTCCACAGGAGAAAGATGTGGCAGTCTGCTTCCATTCGGATTTATCAGCCTTGAAATCCTATGGGACAGTTCTACTCTATCCTACTGGGTTGCTATGAGTCAGAATCGACTCAATGGCAGTCAGTTTGATTTTTTGATGTTATATTAGGCATGATGTTCCAATCTGGGGAACAGAGTGTTGAACAAGGTCTCCTCCCTTATAGACTTTATTTCCTATCAAAGGAATAGATCAAGGAAAAGCCAGGATAGTTATAAGTGCACATGATAACCTGTAAAATTCATTCATTCAATAAGCATGTATTAGAGTCGTGTAAAATAAAGATCCAAAACTCATTGCCACCATACTTCTCACTTGTGCTTTTAATTATGATGAAGTAGCTTGCGCAAAAAGCATGCTTTTGCTGAGGAAAGTTGGATAAAATACCAGAAAACATGTATTTAAAAGCATCAGTGGCTAGAGAGGTCAAGAATTTCTGAAAAACATGGAAAGATCGGCTGACATTTTGGAGCCACATTTCCCCTGGGAAAATTTGTCACTTCTGGGCACAAAGTAAGCCCTGGAGGCACAGTGGTTAAGCACTGAGCTGCTAACCAAAAAGTCTATGGTTCAAACAAATCAGCTACTCTGTGGAAGAAAGATGTGGCAGTTTGCATCTATAAAGATTACAACCTAGAAAATTCTATGAGGCATTTCTGCTCTGTCCTAGAGGATTGTGAGGAGTCAGAATTGACTTGATGGCAATGGTTTGCCATTTTTCTTTAGGAGGTGGGGGAGCCACAAGACGAGGCACCTGGCTTTGCCTGAGCACAGGGCTGCTTCTGGGAAACAGAGAAATCAGTGGAGCTTTTGGTTGCCTTGGGGCTGAGAAACAGAAGTGGAGATGAGATTCCAGTTAAGTAGGGAGGTGTGCAGGAATAAGCCTGACAAATGACCAGTTTTCCCCTTAAGATATTTGCCATAACCTGAAGCTGCATGGAGTGGAAGCAAAATAGATAATATCAC